ACCTGAGCGGGAAGGTAGCTTACATACATTTTGGTTATCAGGGTGCGGTATGCTCGGGAGAAGACGGTAGCTGCCGTAGCCCTACCCGTCTCTCTCTCCCCCCCCCTCTCTCTCTCTCTCTCTCTCTCTCTCTCTGTGTGACACCGTGCTACATGAACCGGCGCTACTGCTTTGGTGGTATTTGCTTCGTCTTCCGTCTCTCTTTCTCTCTCTCTCTCTCTCTCTCTCTCTCTCTCTCTGTGTGTGTGACACGGCGCTACTGCGTTGGTGGTAATTGCTTCGTCTTCCGTGCTTTGTGCTACGCTGCGACGTGAGCTGACCTATGTTCAACGTGAGTTGGTGTGAAAACGAGACGTGCTGGGCTTCAAGCTTTGGTGCTATGTGCTTCATGATCTGACCTACGTGCTACGTGAGTTGGTGTGCCATCGGTGCTGCGTGCTTCGTGCTTGCTAGCTGGGTCGTTCTTCTCCATCTCTCTCTCTCTCTCTTGGTGCTACCGGTGCTACGTGGTTCGTTCTTCGGTGAAACGTGCCGTGCTCGCCACTGCTTGCTAGGTGGTTCATTCTTTGGTGCTACGTGCTTCATGCTTGCTACGCGGTTCGTTCTTCTCCATGTCTCTCTCTCTGTGCTACCGGTGCGACGTGATTCATGAACTTGGTGCTACGTGCTTTGTGAGCTTGGTCGTGAATTGTGCATGCTACGTGAACTCCGTGCTTCGGTTCTACGTGGTTCGTGCTCTGACCTACGTCCCACGTTGCAGGTGCGAAGTGCTACGTCCTACGTGGCACATTGGATGAAGTGCTACGTCCTACGTGGCACATTGCATGAAGTGTTAAGCCCTACGTGGCACATTGCATGAAGTGCTACATCCTATGTGAGGTGCTGGCAGCGTAAATCTGAGCTTGGTGGTACTTGATTAGTGAGGTTGGTGCTACGTGCTCTCTGAGTCGGTGCTACGTGAATTGTCCTGCATGCCATGTGAACATCACGTGGCTTACTGCAACGTGTGCTTGAGGCATTGTCCACTGGGCTAAATCATCGTCGAAGGCTTGCGCATTGTCGGTTGATCGTTGTCTGATGGGGGCTTTGCCACATGGCTGACTGAAGTGAGTCTCCATTTCTCTTACCTCCTTCGACGCGACCTCTCTCCTTCTTCCGTCCTCCCGATCTCTGCCTGATCTCCGCCTCCTACCCTCTTCTCCGCCCTCCCTTGCGACCTCCGCTTGACCTCCTCCCTGCCTTCTCCGTCGGCCTTCCCTCCTTGGCTACTCCTCCCTCAGTCCTTACTTCTCTCTCCTGTCTTCCTTCCCTCGGCCCTCACGTCTCCGTCCCTCCTTCCTCCGTTGGCCTTTCCCCTTCGACCCACCCTCCCTCCCTCCCTTCTCGCTCGGTCCTCCCTCCGTCTTTCCTTAGCGCTCCGCCCTCCCTCCCTCCTGTTTCCCTTCTTGGCGCCCAACGTAGCGGGTGCATTTCATCTTTCTTTTTTGACCAATGGACGTAACGCTGCATTTCGTTTTTCGATCTGCGCGCGCGTGCACAGACACACACACACACACACACACACACACACACAGAGAGAGAGAGAGAGAGAGAGAGAGAGAGAGAGAGAGAGAGAGAGGATGCGTTTTTTTTGGCGAATTGAATCTAAGAAAGGAATGAAAGAGGGGTGGGGGGCTTAATGGGAGAAGTTGAGACGGACGGAGAAGTCGGGAGAGAGAGAGAGAGAGAGAGAGAGAGAGAGAGAGAGAGAGAGAGAGAGAGAGAGAGAGAGAGAGAGAGAGAGAGAGAGAGAGAGGCAACAGAGGCACCACCACTTCCCTCCTTTTCGGCCTATCCTCCTTCCCTCCATTCATGCCTCGGCGCTTCTCCATCGGCCCCGCTACTTCCTCCCTAGGGCTCGGGCCTCTGTCCTTCCTCCCTCTTCCCACCCTTCCTCTCTACCTCTATCCCTTGGTTCTTCCCCCTGCCCCCCACCCTCCCTTCCTGCCTCCTTCCTCTCTTCTTAATGCCCGATCTAGACAGTGCATTTTGCTGTTCTTTCTTTTCCCAAGTTATGTGAACACCAGATACATTTGTCGATCTGAAGAAAAGTGAGCGCGCACAAGCACACGGTCACACGCTTGCGCGCGCTAGTGAGAGAGAGAGAGGAGAGAGAGAGAGAGAGAGAGAGAGAGAGAGAGAGAGAGAGAGAGAG